CAATAGGAGATTGGATTTGATTATGATTCATTTGCTTATAATATAATTCTTGCTATGTTTGCTTCTAGAGGATAAATTCAAGAAGTTCGTTTGGTGTTTGATAAAAAATCACAGAGAGATATCAAGGTAAAAACAAACTAGAGAAAGCTTTTATTTATTTACTGGTTAAGCCTTGATGACTTTTATCAAACATGCTCAGATATTAAGCTATATTGGTGTATTACCTAGTTTCTTGTACTATCAATGAAGATAATAAAAGCTATTTATTACAGTACTTCTTTGAATAACAAACTTGCAAATGCGAATTATTATTTGGGAGCTCTATTTTACACTCTCATCTTTCTTCTTGTGGATGGATTCCTTGAGCTGTCTCTGTCCTTGACAATTACGAGACTTGCAGTTTTCTATAAACAAAGCGACTTGTGCTTTTACTATATTTTCCTTTTTTTTTTTTTTTTGGGCCTTGAATTAACATCCGATAAGATATCTTTCTTTGACTTATAGAGTCGTGATGGATTGTCATATGAACACTTTAAGCTAAAGATGTAGTAGCTGCTGTCTACAAGGTCTTTGTTTTGTTTCTGGAGTTTTATGACGAGTTTCCACGGTACTTCTACCCTTTTAAGTCTTAAACCACATCTGAACTATCAACAAGAAGGCATAATATTCTTAGTTGCTAGCGGCTTCATCAATAGTTTTGTTCATAATCAGTTTGAAATTGTGATCATCTTTGTTGCTTATAATTTTAACCTGAAGGAGGAGAATGCATCTGTTGAAACAATTATTGTAGGAAAGTTCCTCCAGATGCGTGAGAGCATTGAATATGGTTATCATTAGTAGGCAAATGATAAATAAATAACTATTAGAGTAGCATTTATTCATGGAGCACACCTCACACAAACACAAACAAACACACACCCACACAGAGATAGAGCATAGCCCTCTCTTTTTTCTTAAGTGAAGTAGAGCATTCACTGAGAAACAGAAGTTCCTTATTGCGTATATTGCTTTTGCCTCTTATTTGTTTGAGTTATGCAGCTTACTTCATCAGCAGCTCCCTCTCTTCTGCAAAAACAAGATAAGATACTTAGATTGCAAGATAACCGGAATAAGGGATATCTTTCTCTTTTTGCTTGGGGGAAGGAGCTTGTATTCCTCTGTTGAGCTTACTGACAGTGAGTATTTGTGGGAGGTGCATTAGTTAATGCATATATATGCCCTTCAGTGATTTATACCCAACCTTTCCAGGCAGAGTATTTGGTTTAACCCTTTAAGTTATATAAATTGAGATGTAAAGAACTCTTACACTACATTGATTATAACAAGTTATTACACTATATTTCAGATTACCATTCTGACTTCCTATGAAGAGTTATATGTTATTGTAGGTCAATTTAATATGATTGTATAAAAAGCCTATACATTGCCAGTTCACAGGATGTAAGTTCAAAACTGAGTAGGCCTTAGCTATCCACTTTAATTATATTATCATGCAATTTGTAAGGTTCTAATGCTCTATGCAACTTTTCTTCTGTACTACCAGTGAAAGTTACCATGTTCTCTACGGCTATAGCATTCTTAGCGATAGCTCAAATATACATAATGGTTATACCTTGGTCCTTTCACAGTTTTCATTGTCGCTCTCATCGCTGCTTCTGCTGCTGCTGTCACTTCCATCACTGCAACTTCCGTCCTTGTTCCTGTTCCTCCTGCTTCTCATTTGATCACGCATCTTATGCATGAAATTGCCTTCCTTTTTCTTTCCACAAGCCCCAGCATGTGCAGCGGTTGCACTTGTGCCATGGCATGCACTTTGTTGAGTTTTGGTGCCATGGCTTGCAGCAGATTGCTGAGTTTTGGTTCCATGGCATGCAGCAGATTGTTAAGTTTTGGTTCCATGGCATGCAGCAGTTTGTTGAGTTTTGGTGCCATGGCATGCAGAAGTTTGTTGAGTTTTGGTGCCATGGCATGCAGAAGTTTGTTGAGTTTTGGTGCCGTGGCATGTAGATTGTTGAGTTTTGGTGCCGTGGCAGGCAGATTGATGATTGTTATTGTCATGATGAAACATTTTGCCAGTCATACCTTTCATTTTGTCAGCGAAAGAGTGGTGCTCATTGTTGGCCTTGTGGCATGTCACGGTGGTGGTTTTTTGACCGACAGTGGATGGGGCATGTTGAGCGGGCTTGTGGCACTGAAGTGATGCCATTGAATATGACTGAAACTTACTATTTTAAGAGTATTATTCACAGGGTTCAAGCTTCTTATCACTTGCTTGCTTGAAATTACTGGTTTTTTTTTAGCGCGAATATATAGCAGTTTTTGGTGGTGGGAATATTTCTCCTTACTCCTTACATCAGCCACTCTATCATCTTTGAATCTTTTTTCTGGAAATGGCCAATTTGATGAGCATCTATTCTATTCGGTAGATAATTTTGTTTATTAATTATTCTATTTTCCCACTACTGGACTTTTGGCTATATCCACATACATGACACTGGAATAACAGAAAGAAAAGTATAGATAAGTGACCTGTAGCCCAAGCTCTGCCCTAGTGATTTATGCTTGTTCATTTTTCCCTTTAGTGAAAATATGAGTATTGGTATGAAAGGTACAACATAATTTCATATAATGTTTTGCTAAAGTGCTTGCAAATAGACCTCTTCAAAATTGCTTGTGACCTTGATTATCCCAGATACGGCACACAGAATATCTGTTGAGGTGAAATGGTTATTATCTCAGTTAGAGGGTCAAAAACTTTCTAAGATGTGTAGTTCTATTCAATATTCACCTTGATTAGAAAGTGATGATATACTTAATGCACAGGTTTCATCGATGTTGATGCAAACTATAGCATATCTCATCAGAGAAAATCTCACCTTGAACTAATGTGATGTCTACTATGATTCAATGATCGTGTTTTTCATTGATAGTGGATGGATTACTATAGGTCATTTTATCCTTGGCTATGTCAGTAATGTGGGAGCTATAGAGGCTTGTGTCTTTCTCAAAATGATTTTCTTAAAACTAAAACTTTTGGAAAAAATATTGTTTCTCACTCTCATCAACGACATCTATTAAGTGCGAGTATGTTGGAAATTGGACTTTACATTGATTGATATGGGCAGGAAAGTATAGTGGCTCGGCGAGATGTTATGAAAATATACAAGACCTTATTATTAAGTTAATTGTGTGTGTTTGGATAAGCGAGGCTCAGTTAGCTATTGGTCTGTGATGGACAGGCTTTTCTATACATAGAAGGTGACCTCCCTTTTCTAGTTATAAGAAAAGATCCTATTCTGTCTCCCCGAATACGTGAGTAAATGGTTGTGATGACTCATCTCCGCTAGTTCTCCTAAGTTTGGCAAGAACATGGTAGCTAGCGGTTGTGGAAGTTAGACCCTGGTTTAATATGTCATTATTGCTGGTACTGCATCATAGAACATATTTGTGTAACCCTAACAAAAGATTATGCTTGTGTTTTGTGTCTTAATCTTTCTGCAGTCATCGATAAAATTCTCAAGTTTGAAATTATATAAATGTCTGTTATAGGAGCACGAGTCAGTGGAGGGATTGTTAATTTTAATCTCCTTTTGTGCTAAAGACTAAAAGTTGAAGAGCACCTATTCTATTCTTTGAAATAATTTTATTTTTATGCGTGTATTCTTGCTTCCTTCTAAGCATTTGATGACATCCAAAAATATATCATACCAATAAGTGCTTAATGCACTTGACCTGTAGCTATCCCAAGATGTCATATCTGTTTCTCAAGAAAGTAAAGACAAGTTCTTGTCCTTTTGAAACTCTTGATGTATTTGCTTCCTCTGTTTCAGCAAATCTAAGAAGTCTTGAGAAGTCCCATTTCACAGACCGGCATGGTAAAAGATATGTGAGTTCCACTACTGACATCTTGCAAATCAACATCTTGGAAAGAAGGATTGGAATGTAAGTTTCTCAAAGCTGAAGAAGCAATTCCGACCTTATTTTCATTTAGAGTACAAATGAAGGTTCGAAATTAACTACTCCTTTTTCAAGGAATGAATTGCAATTGCTATAGTACATTTTTTTTCCAAGTGGTGCCATTACATTGTTCTCCATTGAGTCGAGTGTCGTAGGTAGTAAACATATGTGCTGATTTTTAGATTTGGCTCTATGGAAAATTATCTCCATTTCGGTGCTGCTAATCACCAGTAATGGGTTTATACTGTACTCTATTTTCATTCTCAAAACAAAGTCACCAGTTATGGGTTTCTTTTCCTTTTTGGTAATTAGTTGAACTTCTTGGTGTTTCTTCCCACCTCTTTGCTTCTTGACTTCTACGAATATGGATATATCCCTTATACTGTTATTGTAAATGCAGCACAATAAGCTCTTTCAGTATCAAGTGGAATTGATCTATTTCAATATATACTTTCTCTTTCTCCCTCGCTTAGTGGCTGCGCAGTTAGTTCTTTCTGTCTCTTTTCTGCATTGCTTTTCTTTTCTTTTTTTGTCTTGCTTTTTTTGGGGGGTGGGCGAGTGGACTTTGTGAACTAAAGCATTTCTGTTCTTACAAAAGAAATATCTTTCGCTGGCCTTTAAAGTCATGAAATAGTGTCAGCTATCGCACATGATGCTACGGATGCATTAGCTGCTTCTCTTACAAAGCCTTTGTTTGGTTTCTGCAGATTTATGTCGAGTTTCCTGGATACCTTGAGCCCTTTTAAGTCTTAAAACACATTAACTATCTGCAAGAAGACAGAACTTGCTTTATTACTAATTAATTGCTTCTTCAATAGCTTTGTTACCTACAGTTTAACCTGAGAAAGGAGGACATAACTCTGCGACATTGATTGTACGAAAAGTTCGTCCATATATATGCTAGAAAAGGATTTATATGGTTATGTGTTACTGCGGCTGATTTTTTCTTTCCTCTACATTGCCGTTACTGTACTCGTTAGTAGTCCATTTAATTTTCCCACAATGAGACAACTAACCATCTTTTGTTGGTGGACAAGTTGACATAGTGTAAATACATAAACCTATTAGCATTTATTCATGGAACACACTTCACACACACACAGTAATAGATACAGAGTCAAACAGAGAGCTCTTTCTCTTAAATAAAGTACAGCATTCACTGAGCAGCAGAAGTTCCTTATTGTATAGCTTCTGCCTCTTACTTGTCTGAGGTCTGTAGCTTACTTCATCAGCAGTTCCCTCTCTTCTGCAAAACCAAGATAACATAATTATTAGGCTTCAGGATATCGTTCTCTATTATTGGGGAGAGGAGCATGTACCCAAGTTTTCAAGTCAGAGCATTTGTGTTAACCTATTAATACACATTGTAGGCATTACTTATCCTCGTTAATTATCTTATAATGCATATCATTGTTCCCTACAACCTTTAAAATTTTTGCCCTTCTCGCAGATATTAACAATGATTATACCGTGGTCCTTCCGCAGTTTTCATTGTCGCTCTCATCACTGCTGCTGCTGCTGCTGTCACTGCCATCGCTGCAATTTCCGTCCTTGTTCTTCCTCCTGCTTCTCATTTGATCACGCATCTTATGCATGAAATTCCCTTCCTTTTTCTTTCCACAAGCCCCAGCATGTGCAGCAGTTGCACTTGTGCCGTGGCATGCAGCAGATTGGTGCGTTTTGGTGCCATGGCATGCAGCAGATTGCTGAGTTTTGGTACCATGGCATGCAGATTGGTTAGTTTTGGTGCCGTGGCATGCAGCAGGTTGGTTAGTTTTGGTGCCATGGCATGCAGCAGATTGCTGAGTTTTGGTGCCATGGCACGCAGATTGATGATTGTGATTGTCATGGTGAAACATTTTGCCGGTCATATCTTTCATCTTGTCAGCATAAGAGTGGTGCTCATTGTTAGCCTTGTGGCATGTCACAGTGGTGGTCTTTTGACAGACAGTGGATGGGGCATGTTGAGCGGGCTTCTGGCACTGAAGTGATGCCATTGAATATGACTGAAAACTGACTCTTTTAAGGGTTCAAGCTTCTTATGCCTTGCTTGCTTGAAATTGGTCTGCTGATGAACACTATTTATAGCAGTTGTGATGGTAAGAATACTTCTCTTTACTCCTTCAATCACCCACTCAAATCTCAATCATCTTTGAATCTCTTTGTTGGAAATGGCCAAGTTGATGAGCATCTATTCTATTCCTTGAGATAATTTGTTTTCTATTGATTTGTTCTATTTTCCCACTACTGGTCTTTTGGACTATTTCTAAGAATATGGCGCTAGCATCATTGAAAGAAAATTCCGGACAAGTGATCATATAGTCCTGAAAGGTAGGCACTCCACCATATAGTTTCATATGTAACTTATCTAAATTGCCTGTAATTTCTGCCTCTTCAATAGCTGAAGTTTTGAAATTGCATCTTTCCGAATGTGGAATTTGTTTTACATTGACATCATATTTAGAGCATTGAAATTAAGCTTGAGGGACTTATCTGAATTATATAAATATGTTTTGTTTTTTTTCTTAAAAAA